AAAAATTTGAAATTTATGAAAAATATTTTCATTTACAAATATTTTTTTTTAAATATTATATTTCGATGCTAATTCAACGCTAAAATGACGTTATCTTAGCGTCGATTTAACATCGACATAGGACGGATCCGATGCTAAATCGACGCTAAATTAGCGTCGAAAACAGTCGATGCTATTTCGATGCTAACTTAGCGTCGAATTAGCATCGAAATATAGCATCGTTTTAGCGTCGATTTTTCCTATGCTAAAATAGCGTCGATTTAGCATCGGATCCGTCTTATGTCGATGCTAAATCGAGGCTAATTTAACGTCATTTTAGCATCGAATTAGCATCGATATATAGCATCGAATTAGCGTCGAATTAGCGTCGAAGTCTGTTTAGCGTCGACAGATTAGCGTCGAATTGTCATTCGACGCTAAGTCGATGCTAAAGGACTTTAGCATTGATTTAGCATCGAATTTTGCTGACGCTAAAACTGTGTTTTCTTGTAGTGGCAACTATGTTTTTTGGTTCATGATTAATCGCTTCGTATTAATCGCAACTAGCTTGGATTAGATTTATCTCCCTGACCAACTTCGTAAAGTGTCTCCTACAAGACCTGAGTTCGAACCGTCCAGAAACTCGCGTGATTTTGCATTCTCCACCAAAGGAGAAGAATAAAACTCAGATCCCTCCTTATGTATACGATTGCCCAGGCTTTGATCTCTCTCACTCTCTCACATACTCAATACGAAGTTTTGAGTTTTTGCTTATGTGAGAGAGTCGCTTCTTCTTTTTTTTTCACAATTGTAACATTTTGTTCATAAAATTTTGGAAGCTTTCCTTTTCTTTCTCCACAATACCTCACCTCTAAATACCAAAATACAATATCTTTTTAACCAAATAGAGAAATATGTCAAAATCACTTCTTCTGGAAATTGAGTTTACCAATGAAGAAATCGAAAAAAGATGCCAAGAGAATAGAGAAAGCAATGAGAACAAGAGCTACAACAGTCAAAGAATCATATCTATAACCAAAGTAATCTTCCAAAAAAGCTGAAACTTTCTTCTTCTTCTTCTCACCAAATGCAGAAATCTCTTTCTCCATATCTCCATATTGCGACGTGAGCAATCCATTCAAAATCCTTGACGTCGGACTCAAGTAATACATCCAAATCCACCATCTCGGAATGTTCTGCATCAAACAAAATCTCATATCTTGATGGTCTTTGAAACTGCTGTAATCGAACTTTGGAAACTAAAAGTAAGAGGGACTTACAGGTTTTGGCATGACATAACCAGCAAAGAGATTTAATTCTTTAAACGCCCGTAGTGTGCCAGTTTGATACGCTCAAGAATCCCAGGATAAAACTGCTTCATGATGTTGTCTCGCATCACTCGAAATCAACATCTAACAAACCCTAAAACTGTGTTGCACTCTCTGACTAGAAAAAACCAGAGGGAAGAAGAAGAAAGAGATTGGCTGCAAATGTTTGCACTTTTAGGGGAAAATATTTAGGGGAAAAGCATATTCCTCTCAAAATTTACCAGTTGAGTTGAATGTGTAAAATAATTGTTTCAACTCATTCCACGTTTTAATAAGAAGGATAAAGAAGAGAAATATAGAAAAATCTTCCTCCACTAAAATAGAGAGTAATACGTTGAAAATTATTCATCTATATTTACTCCACTCACAACTATTTATCTTATTCATCTGAGAGACAACCATTTGCACCCATTGTTTTGTTTATGTGTCGATTGAAAGGAGGAAGACTTGTTCTTATAACAAGTTTTTAACGTGGAGATGAAAGTGGAGTAATGGAAACTGATTTCTCATTAAACATGGGATGATTTTTTCAGTTACAAAAAATTCATCACCCATCATTGTTTTTAACGCTAAAATCAATTAAAGAGATATAATATTTGTTGACTTAATCAACAAAATATTTACAAAATAAATTTGGACCAAACGAAAAATTATATGGACCAACGGCCCATTTACCAAATCCCGAAGTCCAAAATCGAAATTTGGCCCGGGTATCTTCTTTCTCCAATACAACACAAGTGCACACAAGATTTTAAACTTTGTTATGTGGTTTTCACTTTATATACAATATGATTTTCATCTAAACTTCCATTGTAGGACATTTATATTTTTGACACTTGGTCAAATTTGCAATACTTACAAACTTTCTAAGCTAT